CATCTTTTCCTCTTCAGCACTTTCCCGCCTTTTTTCCTCTCATCTTCCGTCTTTCTGCCTACTGTAATTTTGTAGAAAATCAGCTCAAAATAGGCTGCTATTACAAATAGTAGCCATTTTTTAGCCGGTGGCGTACACAGGCACGCTTGTCGTGCACTCTCCCGGCAATAACCGTACAAGGGAGAAAACTAGTTCTCTCCTGAAAAACGCCATGTGTCGTCGTCGCTATTTTTGTGACAAATCAATTTCACACGCGGGTTATCAACACAACGGGGGGGCTTTTCAGGATGTTCTTTTTGGACGCATTTCTTAAAGGCCTCAAACCACAATACGATGATGATGCTTGCGATCGACTCAATACTCTATACCCGATGCTTTTTCGTCATTTTCTCTCTCAATTAGCGCTAAACAGTGAGGAAATAATTAAGTTGGAGTAAAAATATTGAAAATATGGAAGAGGGGGGGGGAACGAAGAACAAAATTTCATCATTCAGCTTGTGTCTTTAAAGGGCAATCAAACTGGCAGGATTATGCAAATTAGATGGTAGGTATTGTGAGTTAACTGATGAAGAGCACTTGGGAATTTCCGCCGCTACATGGGAACACGGGTACCCTGAATTTCCTACACCGCCAGACGTCTATTGTTGGGAAGCGCTTCTCGGTTTTTGTGTTGCAGAAGCCGATGAATCACTGAGGCGTTTTTCTACGCCGCTGTTCATTACAAGTGCGCCCCGAACTATACAGAACCGACCTCAAGGGCCAAGAGAGCAAAAAGGTTTTTTGTGACCCATCCTTTTGAAAAAGCCTCTGATGTGTCCTAGTTCCCATCACCTATTACGTTTTTAAGACCGGCTTTTTATTTTTTATTTATTTATTTATTATTTTTCACTTATTGTTTATTCATTTATTTGTGTCCACTGAAAGTTGCGCCATAGAAAGATTGCTGCAAAATCATGAGCCCAGGAGCGGTATGCCTGAATTAAATATTGGTATCGCCTTCTGATTTCCGGATTCCAGAGGCTGTTGGTAAGCGGCATTGCAAATCACGGCCGAATCGCGGAAAATCGCAAAAAATTACAAGGGATTGGTTAATGAATGGCAAATTTGAAAGGGCCACCAGTTCATTAAAGCTAGCATGTAATGTATGGAAGAAGTATGCCCAACCAGTCGCTTTTGATGGGTGTATACCTGCTGCGCCGCCAGCGATTTGGTGATCAAGTAACAGAGATTGCTTGTCTAATCGTTTTTAGCCATCGCACGAACATGCCCAAAAAGTCCGTTGACAGTTGTCCAATTTTGGAATTAAAGCGCTTCAAGAAATCACTCATAAAACTTTCCGGAACCATTAGAAGAATTTGGTCAAGTGAAAATCAGTGATCACATAGCCCGAATGCAGAGGACGGTGGTAAGCTCCATTGCAAATCGCGGCCGAATCGCGGAAAATCGAAAACTCAGAGAACTGAATAAGCTCACTACGTCGTGAGCTTTTAGCTTACTAGGTCATGAGCTCAAGGACAGCCTTGCAGGGCTCGTTTTGGCGGTGATTTTCGGCTGTTTTCGAGCTGCCAATCCAGTGAACATCAACCTAGATCTAGCAGATTTCATGTGCTAATTAAGTGGCCGATTTTGGCCTTGGTGGCACACGCCGTGTATGGAATGTGATCATCAAAGCGGGAGGGGGGGGGAGTAAATTTTCGTGCTGAAGCACACATGGAAAACCGCTGCCCAATTGAATGGTGAAAAGGTTTGCTGCTAGTTATAGTTAGTTTCACTGGTCGTAAATCCTAAGGAAGGAACTCCTCAAAGGGTCAAAGAAAATATGGAAGATCTGATAAGAGTTTTCTAACTCGTGAACAGGAAGTTCGTGACCTCCCACGCAGTCTCATAGTTGGGTCGCGAAATCGCTAGAAGGGAGGCAATATCTCTTGGAAAGGAGCCTTATAAACCTTGAAAACCATTTCGCGATGAATCCAAATAATAGATTAATCTCTCTTTCGTGGGTACGGTAGAAATATCCACAAGCAGAAACGCCTGCGTTCATTCGATTCCAGTGACTAGGCTTCAACGCCACTGCAACGCAGTGTTCGAGTTGCAAGAGTAGGGCACAAGACACTATGCAAGATCTACATAGCAGAGTGTCTGCGTCTCGCTTGTCTCTATTCTTCCTCGTCTCGGCAGATTGGCTCCGAACCTTTGCGTTAACATATATTTCTGACTTTGGGCCGAGTTCAAAAAAATGCTCCAAGGTAATAAACAAGAATGTGACAGATAGGCAGAAAGCAGAGAGGTTTCCAAGAAAACTCTGAAGGAAGAGTTCTTGAAAATATTACCCTAATAAATTATACGAGATTTTTTCGATACTTTCCCTGAACTTAAAAGGTGGCTTGCCGTCATCTTCTGGGATGTGAATATCGGAGAGCAAATCTTAAACCTAACCAAACTAAGAATCTTGACCCAAACGGGAAGCTGTTGCAGAGAGATCCCTCGTTCGTTTTTTCCAGGGCACCTTTGCACATGAAGTAGTCTGCAGTGAGAAATCGTGGGGTTATAGTCGTGGGTTTTAAGGTTGCCTATGGGCCACTGCCTAGCATGCATACCTTCAGAGAAATTTCCCCAGGAGGAACTACGTCCTCCTTTGAATCCTGACTGATTTTTGTGGCTTTTCCAAGCATTGTTCCCTGTTTTAAAGTGTCCTTGCTTCAAGGCGTGCCTAGGTACCCACCTAAGTGCAAGTTGTGAGTAGCGTTATAGGCAAGTTACCTGAACACCACTCTAAAGTTGTTTCCCAGGCGATGAGCGAGCGAGTGTGAAGGTCAGAGTCATAATAACTACCACCTCTGACAAGTGACGTATTATCTCGATGCAAATGCGCGGGGGTGTACGGGAGAGGTGCAAAATGAATAGAAGGAGGTAGAGGGGGGACGATAGATGACGGACGGGTGCCCTCATCATCCTCGAACCCCGTCAAAGGTCACCCGAGCAAGGGCGATCATACGGAGATTGCTGCGCGTTGCCGCTACCGACACCCGCCACCACACTACCGTTGGCGCCATCACCGCCACAGCAACCACCCGGTGAGTTATGCGGCAATGCGTTACGCGCAAGAATGAGGGACCGACAGGCTAGGTGGCTGGAATATGGTAGGCAAAACGTGGTATAAAGTAGGCCAATAGGGTGACTAGGACGAAAGCTGTGGTGAGGTGGTTGTGGGCGCCATACCAATTCAACATAGCTACTTGGATCCGATCTTGCGCACGAGGAAGCTTCCAAATGCTTCGAGGCTCTACAGTCTTTAGTAAAGCATAATGCAAATTCACTAGTCGTTACCTCCTTCATTGATGACGGTACCGTATAGAATGTCGATGAACGGAATTCTCAACGAATTCCGGGCCCCACTACCAAAATGTGCTTCTATTAACTATCCTCACACCTGCTCAGGAGCGCTTGAGCGGTGTTTTCTATTTCGCCTTTTACCGAGAACTGGCGAAATCAATTATTCTAGTTGAAATCCAGACTCCTGTCATTGCAAATCAGCACTTTCATAAAGTTTCAATGTCCTACTCTATCATTCACCCATACAAAACAAGGAGAACAGTGAATACGTGGCTCACCCGGGCTTCGAATGAGCGCAAAAAAAATGTAGTTCCCTCATGAGGAGTGATTTGTACGACATTGGTTACAACACACAATAACTTCAGACATGGAACTAAGACATCTATGGAATGGAAAATTGAGCTTCAACCTAATTTTTTGGTACTTTAGGTATGTCGGTCAACCCATTCAGTGCTGGATTCCTGCACAGTTTACAGGTAAGAAATTCAGACTTCATCGAAAAAACGAAAAAATTCAGCCACTCAGAGTTGATTGGTCCCTTACTTATACGCCACGCACTTCACTTTCATTTGAAATTGTAGAAAAGGTTGAAAGGTTGAATATGAAAGCTACATAGCATACGAGGTTTATTCATAAGCTATCAAGTTTCTGATATTCTTTTGAAGTGTAAAAGTATTATTATTATTCAAAAGAATCAATTATTATCAAGGCATCAAATGTTATCATACAATATTTCTTATTATAGCAATTTATTTCATATCGACCCCTCTGAAACATTAACTCCACCACATTTTTAATATTAAGTGCTTCTATTTTTAAATTTTATGCTTCTTGAATTCCACCGCCAGACTAGCATGTGTCCAAACGGTCTCAGACTTTCACAAGAATGCTGGGTTGTGAACAAAACTTTCGCCCCAGGCGGGACTAGAACCCGCACCTCTCGCTTTCCGGGCAAGTGCGCTACCAGTTACGCTACCGGGGCACCATTTCATCCCAACTCAGCTTTTCATGGTATACTTACCATAGCTTTTCGGCACTCAACGTTCGAAAACAAGTCTCATGACCGCCTTTCGCACCATTTAAGCTTTAGGCCAATCTTTTTCATACCAACCTGCCTCTAATGCACAAACTCAGCGCTTGTTTACTTGTTTATGTTTATGTTCGAATCAGCAGCGGCTACAAATATTCATAAGCCGGGGACCAAATGCAATCGTAAGCATCGGTGTCTGACCATACCTGTCATCGTTTCGCTGCTGTTATAATCCGAATAACATTTGCATGTGATCTCTAGCTGCTCGATCGAAGACCACACCCATCCCACCTGTTGGCGCTATCTGTACCAAAATCTCCGCGCTTTGCTTTGGCAAAGCGGTATCTAATTAAGGGTGGGGTTTTTGTTGACAATCAGCTTGGAAAAAATCACGTAGTTTCCCATCAGTGGCGATGTCTCAAAAACGATAACGATGGGAACATCATTCAGTGCCGTTCGAACGTGGTTCGAATCGAAGATTATTCCTGATTTTCAAGAAGTGTTTGATGCAGATAAAACAAAAAACAAACATCTAGAACCCTGAATGACCCCTTCGAGCGCTTCTTCTTCAAAGAAAAGATTCTTGGGGAGTTTGAAGCATAAAGGGCAAAATGAGGTTCAGAACCGGTTCCTCATGCAGGTTTTGCGAAAAAATCTCAAGCATATGTGTGAAGCGGCTTGTACAATAAAACCTGGAAGCAGGTTACCATTCAATTCCAAGGGGAATTCCAAGGAAAAAAATAAAAAATAAGTTAGAGAATTTTTTGGTAATCTGGACATTCTCTTTACAAGAATTGGCTTGTTGCTTATAGAAATATATTGCGCCAAACTGCGCGTACAGATAACAATGGGAAAAAAATTTGAAAAGGGAGTCAACTGCTAGGCCTTCAAGGCAAGCCCCGGGATTAGCCTCTCCTGTAAGGAATGATACCGCGAGGGAATTGTAGTAAGGTCTGTACACTACCTAGATCACTTCGACTTTCGTCGCGAAATTGCGCAGCTAGGGCGCTAATTTACGGGCCTGCAACCATCGACTCAGTTGCCAACGCTTCCCACCCACCGAGGTGATGGTGAGATCAGCGTGCATTGATGTAGAGATCAGCGTGCTCTCTCAAACGACGTGCTCTCTCGCGTATTTTGTCTTCTTTGATCGCCTTTCTCGCCATCGTACCACAACTTATTGATTCGACCTCATTGAAGGTTAAGGCCTTAATTTCAGCGTTCCCAAAGGTTTCTCTTGCTTTCCTTTCCACTTTCAGGTCGTCCGCAGCTAAGCTATCACTACGAAACGCTCACAGCACCAGTACAATCCCGGAGTTTTCCTTAAACGCTTCATAATGCCCGACTGTCAGTTTGCGAACGGAAAATTCAGAGTCTATATATAGTCATTTCTTTCCTTCTGCTAAGTTTTTGAAGAGGGTTTCAATGAAACAAAAGCACTCTCAGAAGAGAGATCAATATATTAGGGCCGTGACCAGCCAAGAGAACAGGTTCTAAAGCATCAGCAAAAGTTCGGAATATCTCTGTCGTATGACTAGAAATGTGCATTCAAAGGTGTCAAGATAACACTAAATGAAGTTTGGAGGCGTGGACACTCAAGCAAGCGAATGCCGCCTGACTCTTCCGTATACTGCATAATCTCAGGTTTCCCATCACTGTTTCTTCTCAAGATTACACGATTAGTAGAAAAGGATGGAGACCCTAATTTTTATTTTGAGATCAGTCCTCACAGGTGCTTATTAGGGTGATAGTAATATAAAGGAGCACTCTTTAGACCACTTGGACATATCTTAACACTTCAAAATTTTCCAAGCTGTAGACGAGTACCCAGAGCTAGAAGATCTAACTTAAAGGACTTTCTTAGCTGTTACCTGTTCATGAGTGGAAACCAACGGCCAAAAAAAGGGGTCCCGTTTTGCGTTTTCTTGACGGATTTTTCTGCTTTTTTCGCTACTGGCGTACCATTGAGCACCACCACGTCACACTGAACCCTTCTTGAATTTATCGTAATCGCTGCCTTCAGAGACTCATTTGGAAGTCCTGAGGCCCCACGTGCTTCCACTCCTGGATGCACCTTTCCGTGCCTTTGCAGTTGAATAAATTGCGAACCAGTTCCTCGAGCTGACCAATTTACGACAATTGCAATTTTCTGTCTAGGACTGGTTTTTTGCTCCTATTTACGTAACGAGTAGATTGTTTGCATTAGTTCAATTAAATGTGCGATTACTGCTGTGCAAATACTTTTCTTCATTGTAGGTTTTTTTTATAGTAAACAACATCATTCTGTAATGAGGAAGTTTACTCCAAGCCTAAAAATAACGTGGTGATTCATTCTGTCGCTCCCACAAGTTCATTTTATAATAGTTCTTCCTACTTATGCCTCAAGACCATCGCCGATTTCAGGAGCATGGGAACAATACAGTGAGAATTACTGCTTCGTGCAGAACACGTACTTTGTCCGACCAGATAGCTACATTCCGGACAGCGTGATCGATAGGGAAAACTCTGAAATAGGTCGGTTTTGTTTTTCAGGGAATTATCAACCAAATTATCCTCACTGACATCTGACTCCAGTCAGGTATTGCATAGTGATTTTATTTCGTGGTATTCACCGATAAGAATTGATAAAGGGTGATAAAAAACAAGAGTCTGAAGGCTGCATGCATGGGGCAGAAGGATTTTCAAACGCCTTAACCTATCCCATGTTATAGGTAGCTCTCCAAAGGTTCAGGATGAGATCAGTAGAAAGGTCCGTGGTGATCCATGAACACTGAAAAGCAAAAATTTTGACCTTTTGCCGAAGTATACATATGTTATAGGTTCATATGCACTCGAATTTTACCCAATAGATCTCTTACTTTCTAATTCTAGCCTCACCCCATCTCAGCGCCTAAGAATGCATTTAGCCCATTTTTGAGCCCCATCTAGTGGTCCTAGATCGTGCGAATACAATATCGCCATACCTGCCCATCCGGTATATCTGGTCACATAATAGCTACCCACACTCAACGTTGTTGTTCAGGTTACTACCAATGGGTGCCGTTTATACTCGGCATACAAGCGATTCTGTTCTATCTACCGGCGATGTTCTGGCGACTTTTCAACTGGCAATCAGGTAGAATACAGATTTTTCTACTTTTTCAACTACTGAGTTCTAAGCAAGAAGCTGTTGAACACTAGGATTACTAGATTCACCAAGTAATATCAAAAAGCGTTCAGGAATTGCTGTGAAATCGCTAGTAAAAATGGCGAGGGACACGACCGACATGCAGCCGGAAAGGAAGCGAGAAGCC